GTGAGTGAGTGAGTGAGTGTGTGTGTGTGTGTGTGTGTGTGTGAGTGAGAGTGAGTGTGTGTGTGTGTGTGTGTGTGGGGGGCACAAGAGCCGCTCAGTGAAACAAGTTGACCATATGCAGCCCGTCAGTGTGTGTGTGAAAACATACAGCGTAAAAGAGCAAAGGAAATTAACATGCAATAAAGGCAACACCATTTGATGCATGTTCAATATTAATTTGTCATTTTAATACACGGTGAAACTCATCATGTAACACACACACTCGTGAGCAGCCGCCAGCACCATTCATCTGATATTCAGTGTGTTAAACTGCAGCCTGCAGCCATAACTGACGCAAATGAATTCAAGATAAATGACACACACTACAACACCTGATGATAGTGTGTGTAAAAACACAAACGCACACATTCTGAGAGATGAGGAAAAACTCAGAGCCTCAGGCTTCAAATGTCAATCAAATATGAGACACAGTGATGAGGCGTGTGTGTAACATACACAACACAAAAACACAAATATCTCAGACAAAACAAACTCAGCTATCAGGTGATGTGGGAAATGATTGTGTTGGAGTGTATTTACAAACTTTTACAGTCAACATACAAAATATATATATTTGAAAATAAACATGAATAAGTACATACAAGCACAATACCGCTCAAAAATTGTTGTTGTTTTTTTTATCAATCAAGGATGCATTAAATTGATCAAAAGTGACAGTAAAGACATGTATAACGTTACAAATTATTTCTATTCTATATAAATGCTGTTCTTTTGAACTTTCTATTCATCTGTGAATCCTGAAAAATAAAATGTATCACAGTTTCCACAAAAATATTGTGCAGCACAACTGTTTTCAACATTGATAATAATCAGAAATGTTTCTTGAGCAGCAAATCAGCATATTAGAATGATTTCTGAAGATCATGTGACACTGAAGACTGCAGTAATGATGCTGAAAATACAGCTGCGCATCACAGAAATAAATTAAATTTTAACAGATATTCACATAGAAAACAGCTGTTTTAAATTCTAATCAGATTTAACAGTATTACTGCCTTTACAGTAATTTTGATCAAACAAATGCAGTCTTGGTGAGTGGAAGAGACATAATAAATAAAGAAATAAATACTCTTACCAATCCCAAACTTTTAACAGTGTATACTTTGCAATAAATATTAATTTTTTTTTTTTTACAGAAAATGACTATAAAATCAATAGTTTTATATTGTATTAGCACTTTTTATTCAATTACAATTCGCAATGTTTTATGGGAGAAGTAGTTTGTTCCGTCACAAAGGAATTTAAATGCATTTCAAATACTTTTAGGTGTCATTGCATAAAATTGTAAAGATTTTATTTTTTTTGGTAAATCCTGCATCTTGATTGATTTCATTGGTACATTTAAACTAACACTGATCCAGTGTGAAAACTAAGTCCATCTGGCGCGTGTACATACTAGAAGAACGTGTGCTGTGTGAACGGCCCCTAATGCAGAAATGAGAGAAAACCTTCCCTCTCTCTTCCATTACTGTCAGTGTGTTTTAGTAAAAACATCTCAACCAATCAAGAGGCTTTTAATACAGACTCTACACACACACACACGATCAATACTGAACCACACACACACACAGCTGAAGTTCTTAATTGCAGTAAGACTGGATGATTCACTGGCTGCTGATATAAAGGTTTATGGGATTAACTTTACTCCAGATGATCAATGATTTGATTAGACAGAACAAAAAGGTTAAGACTTTAAAACACATGAGCTTAAACACACACTCCATGTGATAACCTCCATCACAGCTCCTCTGTATTAAACCACAACTCTTTCATTCAATCATCCAATGAAGAGCCCACATTCTACACTTCTATCATTTATTTCATTCTCCATTTATAATGTCTGTCAAGGTCTTTTGCACTGCATCTTTAAGACTTCTATATGCAAATGACTCTGATCTGATTCGCTAACCTCCACACACCTGCATATTTCACACACCTGCATATTTGTAGGGACGTTCCAAACGAAAGTGAACAACTGAATGGCTTCACGAAGAGCCCTTCCAGAAGTCTGTTAGCGAAAGGAACATGCGATGGTTTCTTCACGGAAGTGATTTCCGTTTGTGATCATGTGATCTTCGGTTAGGAGATCTTGCGATGCATTTTAAAGCAAAGTTGGGGTTGATTTCGACTTCACATACAAACGTAAGTAGAATAGTCTAAATAAAATCATCTTTATTTTAATGTAATTCAAAATATTTTTCGTCACATATAGAAATATGATTTAAGACGGTAGTGTAAGCAAGTTTAGTTTGAAAAAGTTTCATAGTAAATAAGACAGTAATGCCCTGCGCCCTTCAAAGAACACACTCCTAGGGATGCTCACTTCCGTTTGGAATTCGCTCAAGATTCTGATATGCAAATGTGGCCGGTCAAATGTTAATGAGCTGTGATGTCATCGCCATGACGACAGGTTGTTTTGCCTCCTAGTTTAAGCTGCAGTGACTGAGGAGGGAGTTTTGAGTTTGATATCCGTTCAAGTGTCATTCAGATGTGACTATCATCTGGTTTCATCTGGACGGCGTCCTATTGCGCAGTGGTTCGCCCGGGAGACAGGCTATCAGACACTTTTTAATTAAGTACTGGAGAACAAGGGGCTAATGCTAAATTATCTGTCAGGGCTTTAAATGGAACTTTTGCCGAGCGGCGCCTCATACTCTCCGCCTGCCGTTTTCATTATCCTGCGAAGAAAAGTGTAGAAACGGGAAAAATAGAAACTGACGGAACACAAAGAGACAGGGAATAAAGAACGACTTCTTTTATTTTGCAGGCATATTCTTTCGGGAGACATCATTATCTTGTCTCAAACACACACATAAAATGTCAAAATCATTAAAAAAGTCCTTTAAAGTGGCAGTGTGATATTTCTGCTTTACTAGCATCACCAAACAGAAGTGCAGGAATTAGTTTTTAAATGGGTTTCTCCATATCAAACTCCCTCTATCTCTCATTGGTCAGTTAAACTGATAGCCCCGCCCCAAACTCACATGATTGGGCATGTGCAAACGCATGTGTGTGGCTCAGCCAATCAGAATTCAGAGTCTGTTTTATTATCCTTCACAGAATGTGAGACAAACATGGAATATTAAGAGTAAAGCAACACATGATTATATATTACATCAAAAAAGCCTAACTTTAAACGTCACACCTCACATAATATCACGAGTTTGTGATATTTATTATTGATTATGTGTCCAGCCGTGATGTTTTATCGGGATCCAGGAGTGAATGTTCAACAGCCGATCGATGGAGTCTCATGTGACGTATAGAGCAGATACACACACAGCTGCATTACAGAGGTGTGTGTGTGTGTGTCTGTGTGTGTGTGTGTGTGTGTGTGTGAATCAATACAATAACTCATAAATAATCAGATCAGATGACACTGTAATGTACATCATCTTATTGATCTCTCACTGTACATCCTACATGTGTGAGAGAGTTCAAATGTTGACTACTGTATATATATATATATATATATATATATATACACACACACACACAGTATATACTGTGCACACTAAATATATACTATATATAGAGGTTGATTGATGAATTAATTATAATGAATTTTATTAATACAGCAGAAAGTGTTTATTATGAAGAATAAAGATATCTGGATTTCACTGTGGATGAAGCTACAAAAATAGCAAAAAAGCAAGCAACCGATAACATGTCTTGTCATGGTCATGCTCAGAAAAAAACTAATATAAAATCATGCAGTTTATCACATGATGTCTGTCTGAGTAATGTTCAGGTACCCACATTAGCATATAATTAATAAAAATGCATAATGTCAACAAGAGACACCAGGACGCGTCTGTCTGAAGTGATCATTGCTCAGTGTGCATTGATGTGAAATAGTTGCATGAAAACTTTTGGTTGCATGATGAGCTTTTGCAAACCCTTCGTGCAGCACAACCACAGCTGGAATCAATGGATTATGCATAACCCTCATGCATCCTGTTTTTAGTTTTTAGTTTTTTTTTTTTTTGCATTGACATTTTCATGGAGATTAAACACATTTTCTCATGAATTGCAATACCGTGTTGAAAATCATCATTTTTAATGTTGTAAAAGTCAGTGAGCTCACCTGTCTGTCGGTGAGTGTGTAGATGAACTGCAGGTCTGGGCTGAACAGCGTGTCCCGCAGCACCGGACTGCCCTCGCTCACCGGGACGCTCTCGTACAGCAGCGCCGGCCTGGACGGACTCACCGAATTAATCAGAATCTGACAAAACACAAGCCACGGCAAGACCATTAGCATCTCATTAATATCCCATAAAACCAGACCAAACGCTTTCAAAGGCAGCGCTGTGAAGCGTGTGAGGTCAGTGAGCTCACCTGTCTGTCGGTGAGTGTGTAGATGAACTGCAGGTCTGGGCTGAACAGCGTGTCCCGCAGCACCGGACTGCCCTCGCTCACCGGGACGCTCTCGTACAGCAGCGCCGGCCTGGACGGACTCACCGAATTAATCAGAATCTGACAAAACACAAGCCACGGCAAGACCATTAGCATCTCATTAATATCCCATAAAACCAGACCAAACGCTTTCATCATGTGAAAACACAAACATCATTACAGTAATGCCATCAGAGCGTCAGGACAACAATCGCTGCGAATATAATCATCTGTGTCTGCGTCTCTCAGGAGAGAATCGCGAGCGGACCTGCACCGCCGGGATCAAATCCCTCATTCAGCATCAATCACTCCGAACCACTACAAGAGGATTAGATGCATTAGCCGCTAATTGAATCATACCATGAAGACAGACGCAACTATTACACCACATTCATACAGGCTTACTGCACCAATCACACACAATCCATTTATAAACACACCTCGCTTGACATGATGACTACAACTAAACGTCTTCACACACACAGCCGTTCACAAAGGTCATCTGGAATCACTGGCTCTCCATGAAATGCCAAAGAATTTCCATTATTAATCATTGTGATTCATTCAAACTGCAAACTCTGTTTTAACGAACCAATTAGCACTCTTGACTTTTACAAGCAGAGACAGCAATGAAGAAACATTTAGCAAAAACAAGAAAACATAGACCACAACTTTAGATAAAGGGACCTTTAAATGTGAAGATATTTAGCAGAATATACAGGAAAACAGAGACTGAAAAATTTCAATAAATTGCTTTTTAAAAAAATATATATACATTTAAATTGTAATAATCTTTCACACACTACTGTTCAAAAGTTTGAGGTCAGTAAGATTTTTTTTAAAGAAAATAACATTTTTATTCAGTAAGGATGCATTAAATTGATCAAAAGTGACAGTAAAGACATTTATAATGTTACAAAATATTTCTATTTCAAATAAATGCTGTTCTTTTGAACTTTCTATTCATCTGTGAATCCTGAAAAATAAAATGCATCACAGTTTCCTTAAACATGATTACATAAGTAAAGGATCTATCTCTAAATTAAATTATATTTATATTAAATTATATTATATTTATTTACAAATAAATAAACAAATAAAAAAATGCATATCGTCAAATTATAAAAAAAGATTATAAAATAAACAAATAAAAAATTAAAAAACTGTAAATAAAAATAAATAAATTTAACACATTTAAAAAATAATATAACTTTTAATCTATATAAATCTAATTAAATTGAAGGATTTTGAATGTTAAAAAATGTAATCTAAATGACTAGTGAATTCACAGTCAAACCGCTGTAAAGGAAACACAACCCGTCTCAGTAACACTGAGTGTACAGTAACGTGTGGAGCAACAGGAAGCAGCAAATCAGCATATTAAGAATGATTTCTGAAGATCATGTGACACTGAAGACTGGAGTAATGATGCTGAAAATACAGCTGCGCATCACAGAAATAAATTACAGTTTAACAGATAATCACATAGAACACAGCTGTTTTAAATAGTAATAATATTTCAAATTTTTTTTATGTATTTTTGCTCAAATACATACAGCCTTGGTGAGCAGAAGAGACTTCTTTAAAAAAAAAAAAATCCAAAACTTTAGAACAGTAGTATATATTATAGCACAGATTTCTGTGAAGCACAGGGTCAAATGTAAGCCGTTATTCACTACGAACGTCTCTATTTGTGATCCACATTAGAAACACAGTCACACAGGTTTGGATCGACACACGAGTGAATGATGACAGACTTCTCATTCAGATACAGTGAGCATATATGAGTGTATGAATGTAATGAGACCCGGGGGAAGGGTGCTGTTCTTGCATGTTGAACACATCCATCACTTCTATTGCTCTCAATAAACATGCAGCATTAACTGAGCAGCATCTCTGACGGAGACGCCGTAATCGCTCTGCTGCAAACACACGCTTCTGTGATATGAGGATAGAGTATCTGTAATGGGTTTATTCACTCTGATGGTTAGACACAAAGCAGAAAGAGATGCGAATAATTCAGTGGTGTTGTGATACTAAGTTTATCTAGGGCACAGTCTGAGTAGGAACTTACAGCGTGGAGCAACAGGACACACACACACACACACACACACACACACACACACTCAGCTGTGGCATGTGGCAGCGGTGTGTTGACAGCTGGGTGGTCACCAGGCAACCAGGTGGGAAACAGATGCTGCAGCTGCGGTCTGGCCTTGAACACATCCATCACTTCTATTGCTCTCAATAAACATGCAGCATTAACGGAGCAGCATCTCTGACGGAGACGCCGTAATCGCTCTGCTGCAAACACACGCTTCTGTGATATGAGGATAGAGTATCTGTAATGCACTGAGCCTGTTAACATAGCAACATTTCATCTCAAACCACATAAAATCACTTACACACTGAGCATACATGAATGAGCAATACACACATCGAATTGAGTTTTATTGCCATTACAGAGCCAATGCAAGAGAATATTAAAACAAGCCGCCTGGGATCATGCTGCAACACAACAGTGTTATTTTAGTATCTTTAAGATACTATAGTAGGTTTTATTAATATTTTGAATTAGTTTTTATTTTTATATTTTCCATTTTCAAGCTGGGTGGTCACCAGGCAACCAGGTGGGAAACAGATGCTGCAGCTGCGGTCTGGCCTGTTGCCACGGTAACAGCAGGGGCATCGACCCCTGGACGCGGCATGTGTGTCGAAAGTGAATCCGGTGAACAGCGACTGAACTCACAGCGAGTGTTTAGAGGTTCATCAGAGCGACCGCAAGCCAACGTCAGCACCGCCAATTAAGAGTGAAGTGTGTATCGATCCACACGTGTGTGCGTTTGTGTGTGTGTGTGTGTGCGTGTGTGTGTGTGTGAGTAATTAACAGCGCTCTAGGGGTGTCTGGAAGGAAGTTCTTGGGGTCAAAAAGGAAGTGAACAACATTTCAATGAAGGCAGAGAGGTTCAGCCACTTTGTGTCTCATGGCTGCATTAATCAAATTACACTAATTAGATGAAAAATATATTCTGCTGCCAAGAGACAGCAGATCGGAATCAAATCTCCTTTCTGGTCTACAAGTTAACAAACTTGGTTAGTACCGTCATTCTGATCATCTCAACCTTTTGAAATCTTGCCAAAATTACATGTTCAATTAAGATTAAAATAAAATTAAATAAAATTAAAATACAATTATATTTTAATAAGACAAATTAAATGAATAAGGTAATGGATTAATCTATAATTAATGAACGAATTTTGTGCAATGCTCTTCTTTAAAAAAAATGTGGAAACTGAATGTAAACAAAGTTTAACAGACTATAAAATAAGAGCAGAGACACAACTAAATGATAATCAGCTATTTTTATTAATGATTCTGAGGATTATATCTCAAAATACCATGGTATTACCATCTGATGCCATCAGGTCAACGCATTTCTGGAAGGGAGGTGACGTGTATAAACAGCTCTTCCTTAAGGAACTGATCGAAACAATAGAAATGAATCATGGGAACTTTCATGTTCTGGGAAAAGGAGTGTCTGCCAGAGAATACCTCTGGATACTATAGTAGGTTTTATTAATATTTTGAATTAGTTTTTATTTTTATATTTTCCATTTTCATTTTAGTAAACGTTTTAGTAATATAGCATAGTTATATAGTTTAATAGTTTTTTTTATTGTTTTTATCTATCTTTTCAATTTTCATTTTAATTTTAGTAAAAGTTTTAGTATTTTTGTTTTTGTTTATCTTTAAATGTCTATATAGTTTATTTGAATAAGTTTTTATTTTTATATTTTCCATTTTCATTTTAGTACCGTTTCAGTATTTTTGTTGTTTTTCTTTAAATATGTATATATAGTGTTATTAGTTTTTATTTTTATATTTTCCGTTTTCATTTTAATTCAAGTAAAAGCTTGTTTGTTTGTTTTTTCTGTTTTTATTTTTGTATTTTCCAATTTCATTTTAATTTTAGTAAAAAATTTAGTGTGTTTATTTTCTTTAAATGCATCTATATAGTTTTTTTTAATTCATTTTTCTTTTTCTTTAAATGTCTATATAGTTTTTTTTAATTAGTTTTTATTTCTGTATTTTTTATTTTAATTTTAGTATTTTCATTTTTAAATACATCTATATAGTTTTTATTTATTTATCTATCTATCTATTTATTTTCAGTTTTAGTTTGTATTATTTTAGTACATGTTAAGTATTAAATGTTTAGTGTAAGTTAAACTGAGAAATGCTACCATGGCAACTATTAGTTGCAATAAATACAATCTAATCCAATTAATTAATCCAATAGTCCGCAATACGTCCCAAAAATTAGATAAGATAAACGTGCAATATTTATGATTTCAAATGCATGTGAATCTGCTGTGTGACATGTTTCATGTGTTTATATGCATAAAAGAGAATCTGATGGTTTCCAGATGATGCTCACTTTCACAGACGTGACACTGACGGAGCTGTGCTTTCCAGAACTACAGCAAGTCAAATAAACACCACTCCGGATGAGAAACACAGCAGTATCTGCTCTAGACGTGCACTCATGGGAACACGACAGGGCTATTATCATTAACTAAAACTAAAACCATAAAAACATTTTCACTTCTTGAAATAGAATAAACATTAACTGAAATAAAATATTCAAAATAACCTTATATTATATTTCAGGTAGTTGCAAAGAAAAAAGTTCTAATTTTAATTTAAGTTGAAGTACTAAAATGACTAAAAACCAAAAAAATATATATTGAACTTAAGAACCTTATAGACATAAAAAAATTATTTAGTAAAAAATTAGTAAAAAATTACTAAACCTGAAATTTAAATGAAAAATTAGAAAATGAGAAAATAAAATATTAAATATTAACAAAATTATAACAGTATATCAGTGATGCTAAACTAACGCTGTTAGATGCAGAGGTCAGTGTTATTCCAGCTTGTGTCGTGTGTTTAGCAGGTTAACGTGATTTAGGCTTCAAACCAAAAGTGCTCAATCCGGCGTTTTTCTACAGATGCGGCGGCTCTTTTGTGTCAGTCTGAACCGGGTGAGGATAACAAACATAATTACTGCATGCAACTT